AAAAAAAAAAAACAACCCATGAAGTGATTCCGTATCAAGGTGATATATTATGATGGACAGCTGCCCCCGACACGTGTCCTGCTCACACATTCGAGGTAAATAAGGTCAAGCGGCGGTGCCGTTCACACACGCCGCCGACGGGGCCCATATGCGAGGCACGACGGGGAGAAATAGCAAAGCTGTGTGAAATTCTATCAGCGTAAACGGTTCTCAGCGCCACCGCCGATTTTGTTCTCACTCGTCCCGTGTGTGTGTGTGTGTGTGTGTGTGTGTGTGTGTGTGTGTGTGAAGTGTGTTTGTAGCCCGGGAATAATGTCCTCAGATCACGACTGCAATCTAGCTGCCCATATGTTCCGCCGTGTTCCGACTCACTTAAAATCTCGACTTTGTCCACTCGCCCCCCCACACACACACACACAAAAAAAAAATCTTCCATCCATCTCCATTCACACGCTCACATCGAGATTAAGGCTTTGTCAGAGATTTGCCCAGGATTGCCAAATCTAAACATGGGAGGATTTCTCAGATTTTGAGAAAGGAGGTCTTTGGTCTCTTGGTTGCCATAGCAACGCAAAACATTTGATTGAGAAGTAATTGTAAATATCAACACTCCTGCGTTTGCAAATGCAATCATGGTCAATTTTTGATGGACGCCGTTTGTGCAATTTTTACACGGCGATAATGTAGTGGTTGTTACACAAATGCATCTCAAATACTTAAGGGGGTGGGGGGGGGGCCATAATCACAACTTTATCGCAATTTGTCATAATGTGATTTCCTCCGATGATAACGATTACCCACAAGCCATCATCATCAGTTGCGGTATATTGCTCACACTGTTGAACGGAATCGTATCGTCCGCGAGGCATAAAATTAACTTGCGCAAATTACATGAGTGGGGATCTGGAAATTGATAACGGAAAAACCTCACCATCATTGGATTGGATCGCATTTAAGTCGGGGGGAAACCAGTGCAGAATACCGACCCCCACCCCCACCCCCTCTTGAAAGCTACAATCGTATCCTTTGAGTGCTTTCCTTTTCGGAGAGAGGAAGAAAAAAAAAATTGGTATTAATCTGCTAACGATTTAAAGCTCTTTCGGCGTTAGTAGAAATGGGAGCCCGCTCTCACACTCAACGGCAGCTTAACGTTGGTTTTTCAAGGCAACCGAGTGGACAAGGTTGGCATTTAGCATCTTAATCTGAAAGGGGGGGCGGCGGGGGGGGGGGGGGGGGGCCCTCCCTAGCCACTTGTGCTCTATATGGTGAGTTTGCCATTTTGTAGCGCTGTGTGAATTTGTACAGCAAACCTCCACACAGTCGCATCGACGATGATCACATTCGCTGGTCTTTTCGGAGAATCGACTATGTGAAGGAAAAAAGTTGTTTAGCGAGGACGACGAGGAGAGTTTTCTCTTCCGTGTGTGTGTGTGTGTGTGTGTGTGTGAGAGAGTGTGTGTGTGGCTTAAAGAGGGTCAATGGCGTGGGTCAGGCATCATATGGAGAGGCAGATGTTGCAACATATTGTCCTGGATTACCGGGGTGTACACCG